AGAGAGAGAGAGAGAGAGAGAGAGAGAGAGAGAGAGAGAGAGAGAGAGACCCTGTTTGCCCTGGAGCCCCTCCTAGGGTCAGCTAGTTAGTTGTGCTTCTTTTGTCTTTTCTGTCCCTGATGTCGCCACTCACAATAAACTTCTGTATCCTAACTTCCTTTCCATGTTTACTGCTAGGAGCATTTACCTACCCAGCCTGACCATAGGTTTGGAAGCAAACTCCTTGCCTCATAGACGAAGTTAAAGATACTTATTCTTTCCATATATCACTTGGTTACTGTGAGGATAATGTGAGCATGTTCAGGAAATTGCTATGCAATTTAGGAAGGCCTAAGTGTCTTAGCTACTCTTCTCTCCTTGCTGGCACAAATATCTGACACTCAAGCTTGGGGAAGGAAAGGTTTATTTAGCTCACAGTTACTGGAGGAGAGGGTGAGGCACTGCCTTGTCCAGGATGATCAGCTCCACACCTCTCAGAAAGCAGGGGCTAAAAAAAAAAAAAAAAGTCAGAAAGCAGGGGCTAGCCAGTTTAACAGTTTGCACCTCTAGCCCTGCCCCTCAAGCCACTCCTTGCTCCTCCAGCCTGTGTGTCCCATAACTTAGATGAGGCTTTGAGGGGACAACTACACACAAATCATAATACTAAGTTTTTGTTTATGTCTTATTATAAAATCATAAAGGCCCGTAATGGTGGTATATGACTGCAATCCCAGCACTTAGAAGGCTGAGGCAGGAGTACCCATGAAGAGTTTGAGACCAACCTAGGATACAAAATGAGTTCAAGGCCAGCCTGGGCTACATATTGAGATCCTGATATATAAGTTATCAAACAACAAACCTTAGCTGTGTTTTTTTTTTAATGGTATTATAGGGAAGGGTCTACAATGTGTTCATGGCCTCACTACTAGATTGGACTGGTAGTGATTCTGGTTTTTTGGGGTTTTTTTGGTGGAACCAGGGATTAAACTCAGACCCTTGCGCTTGCCAGGCAAGTGCTTATTCTACTGAGCCGTCTCCTGGTCCCTGGTAGTGATTCTGTTTGCAGCCTCCCGAGTGCTGGGATTAGAGGCATGTGCCCCACTCCGAGTCTCAATCGCTTTCCCAGCATGCCCTGGGGGCAGGGCTGGCATGGCAGGCCCAGGGATTGAACTCCTGGCTCCTGCATGTGCTTGCAGGCGCTTTAATGCGCTATTTGGCTAGCCCTAATGCTCAAGTTTTAAAAACCTCAGATACTAATTTTCAAGCCTGTCAAAGTTAGAGTGTATACGGGTCTTTCGTAGCTTTACTTATTACAGGGAGTAATTTATACACTATAATATCTTTGACAATCAAATAAAGACCTAAAGTATTGTAGAGTACCTCAGTAAGCTACCCTGGGAATGTTGTTTTGTTTCTTTTTGCCCAAAGATAACAACTACTAAGATAGAGGAAACAAACATAAGTAAAAAGAAGAAACAAGAAACATTTAAACATCTCTTTTGACAAAGCAGTGGCTAGAGTATTTGGAGAAATACTTAGCATGGTAACCATGGAATCATTTTTTGTGTACCTAGTGAGGTACAACTTCTTATATGTGGATAAACATTACAGTTTTTTAAAAATTTATTTTATTTATTTTTGTGTGTGTGTCTGTGTGGCCAGCTCAGCCCACCTGGGGGCGGGGCTGGCTGGCATGTGGTGCTGGAGGATTGAACCGTGGTCCATGTGCTTTGCTAAGCTTGTTCTAAGTAGGTGCTTTAGACCACTGAGCCATCTCACCAGCCCCAAGCATTACAGTTTTAATTACATGTACATAAAATATTTCTTATAAACATTTTGTGGGCCGGTTGATGGCTCAGTAGAATAAGCGCTTGGCTGGCAAGTGCAAGGACCTGAGTTCAATCCCTGGTTCCGGAAAAAAAAAAAAATAAACAAAAATTTTAAAAAAGGGGGTTTGGGAGATGGCTCAGTGGAAAAGCGCTTCCCTGGCAAGCGCAAGGGCATGAGTTCAATCCCCGGTTCCACCAAAAAATAAAAAATAAATAAAAACATTTTGACACTTGTTTTCTGGGCTCACATTCATTTTACATATAGAGAGCTAGTGATGAGGCAAATGCTTCTGTGAGAAAAACTTTTAGCAGCTAGTTTTTGTTTTTGCTTTTCTTGAGGCATGGTCTCCACATGCAGTCCAGGCTGGCCTTGAACTCGCTATGTAGCCCAGGGACTCACAGTGATCTTCTTGTCTCAGCCTCCAGCGTGGGCTACCACACCGGCTGCTTTTTGCCCGCTGTGTGGAAGCTCTGACAAGGAACAGAATGTCAGCAGCCTGGTCCTAGTAACGGTTCCTAACGGTACATGTCCTGAAACTCAGGCGAAGCATCCTGAAGCATTCAGATAGAAGTGGCCTCGTCCTGGGACAGGCGTGTTTCCTCGCACAGCAAAGGCTGTTGACGCCCACAGCATCCTGTTTCCTCCCCTGTCTCCGGCTCAGAGCGCCCGGCCCGTATGCAGCCTCATCTTGGCTGCGCAGAGTCGGCGCACAGGCGTTGCCCTGAGGGAGGGGTACAAGGCCTGCAGACTGAGCCTGGAAGGAGAGTTGCTATGCAGCACCTGCGCTCCAGGCCACGCACTCTGGGACCAAAGAGCAGTGCAAGGGGCGGGGCTTGCGCGGGGCGGGGCGGGGCGGCGGGCCGCGTCACGGCGTGCGCACGTGCCCGTGTTTACGTCCCTCGTGGAGCGCCTACGTCAGCGGGCTATGGCAACATTGAGGCCAGGCTGAGGCGCCGAGTGAGGCGGGTAGCGTCTGCCTGGCAGGCAGCTGGACTACGGAGGGGATCGCGGCAGAGGCTACGTAGCCGGCCTCAATTCCCTTAATCCCGGTGAGGTCGGCGGGACGCTAGCAGGCGGCGGCCGTGCGGCGCGCTTTGTCCTCGCGCCGGGCCACTCGGCAGAGCGGGAGGGGGAGCGGCCAAGATGGCTGCGGGCGCCCGGCGCGGCTGACGGGGCGGCGCGACACCATGGCTTTCGCGCTAGAGGAGACGCTCGAGGCCGACTGGGTGGCCGTCCGGCCCCATGTGTTCGATGAGCGCGAGAAGCACAAGTTTGTCTTCATCGTGGCCTGGAACGAGATCGAGGGCAAGTTCGCCATCACCTGCCACAACCGGACGGCACAGCGGCAGCGCAGCGGCTCCCGGGAGCCTGCGGCCGCACCAAGCCGGCCCGAGGCCTCGGTCCCCACCACGCCGGTCCGCAGCCCGGGGCCCCGGTGGAGCGCGGCCGGCGCAGGGGCGGGTAGCCCTGGCAGCAGCCCAGCGCGTAGGGCCGCGGAGCCCGGAGATGCCCAGCCAGCGGCCTCGGTGCGTGTGCTGAGCGCCTGCGGAGCGGCCGCGGAGGAGATCGAGGTGCTAGAGGCAAGCGCGGAGCCTGAGCCGCCCGGCGAGGAGTGCAGCTGGGCCGGGCTCTTCTCTTTTCAGGACCTCCGCGCAGTGCACCAGCAGCTGTGTTCTGTGAACTCGCAGCTGGAGCCCTGCCTGCCTGTGTTCCCCGAAGAGCCCTCTGGCATGTGGACAGTGCTCTTCGGGGGTGCCCCCGAGATGACCGAGCAGGAGGTGGATGCGCTGTGCTACCAGCTGCAGGTCTACCTGGGCCATGGCCTGGACACATGCGGCTGGAAGATACTGTCCCAGGTGCTCTTCACTGAGCCCGATGACCCAGAGGAGTACTACGAAAGCCTCAGCGAGCTGCGTCAGAAGGGTTACGAGGAGGTGCTGCAGAGGGCCCGGAAGCGCATCCAGGAGGTGAGGGCCGACAGGACTTCCGGTGCTTATGCCTGTGGCAGGCTGTGTGCAAAATGGGCTTCTGGTTGCGTCCTCACTTTTTTCTTTTGAGTGGCATGCTTTACCTGATCTATGAGAACTTTTTACGTGAGTGTTTAGACCTCCACCCATCAGATGGGTGTTGTGCAGTAAGTGCATTTGTTTACTATTTAGTATTGGTAAAAAGATTGCTCGAATGGAGCTGTCCAGGGGCGGGGGAGATGGCTCAGTACAATAGGCCCTGAGTTCAATCCCAGGTTCCGCCAAAATAAATAAATAAATAAATAAATAAATAAGAAAGGCGCTATCCTGGAAACATAGGCTAAGTGAGCATTACATGTCAGCCCCTGAGGTTTTTCCACAATAACTCGATACCAGCTCTTATTGCCTAATATCGTGTTTATTGACTCAAAGTAGTTTGCCATTTGGAGGAGCACGGTTATGTGTTTATTCTCCTTATGCAGTGTGGCAACGTGGCTGCATTTTAAGCTCGTTATTTAATTTTGATTTGGGGAAGGTACTACTGGAGGTGGAACACAGGGCAAGAATTGCTAGGCAAGTGCTCTACCCCTGAGCTTCAGCTCTTAATTTTTTGTATTTTGTTTTCAGACAAGGTCTCTATATAGTTCAGGTTAAACTTGTATTCACTTTCCTTTTTTTTTTTTTTTTGGCAGAACCGGGGATTGAACTCAGGACCTTGTGCTTGCCAGGCACAAGGGCCTGAGTTCAAATCTCCCCAGCCCCTTGAACTTACTTTTCATGTTATTTTATTTTTATATGTTTTTTGAGACAGGCTCTTGCTGCGCAGTTCAGGCTGGCCTTTAGCCCAGTCTGGTCTCAAACTCAAAAGGCTCCCTCCTATCTCAAGTGTAATCCCAAGTACTGGGATTACAGGTATGTGCCACCACACCTGGCTGGTGTTTTGTTTTTTTTAGACAGGGTCCCATTATGAAGTTCAGGCATGTGTCAGTCCTACCAAAGAATTTTTTTTTTTTTTTTTTTTTTTTTTTTTTTTTGATACTAGGACTTGAACTGTGGACCTCATGCTTGCCAGGCAGATGCTGTGCTGTGGAGTGAAATCCCTAGCCAGACAAAGCATCTTTTATGTATTCATGTATTTATTTTTTAAAGAGCAGATGAAGCATCTTGAATGCTGATATTGTGCCTTGAGCCTTTGCCATCACACCCGGGTTTGAACTCACTTTATACTTCTGGGTGGCCTTGCACTTGCTATAAGCTTCTTGTCTCAGCCTCCAGAGCGAGAGTTTTTCATGCAGGTTAGGCAGGTCTTGAACTCAGGAGGATCCTCTTGTCTCATGCCCCAACTAAAATTTAATTTTTGAGACAGATTTTCCCAAGGCTTGCCTTGAGTTGGAGATCTTTCCTCAGGCTCCAGAGTAGATGAGATTATAGATGTGATGTGTATTATCACACCTGGCTGTACTATAATCCTCTCTTCTTTTTGAGGCAGGGGCTCACTCTATAGTTCAGGCTGGCTTGGAAGATCAGATGACAGCTATCTTCTTGCCTCAGCCTCTTAAGTATTGGGATTATAGCTGTGTACCTACATACCTGGCAATATCACAATACATACTTTCAGTTCTCTCTTTTTGGTACTGGGACTTGGCATGGTGCCCCTGAGCTATATTCCAGGCCCTGGAGTTAGTGGGTTTTTTAAAAATTGTTTTATAGTACTTAATGCTAAATTTCACCTGCCATAATGTGTGATCCTAGAATAGCAGGGATCTGTCCCCCACCACACCTTTTAGAGTAGGAATTAAACACAGGGCTTTCACACTTATTTACATCCCCAACCATTTTTAATGTTTGAAACACTTGCCCAATCCCTGAATTGCTCAGGCTGGACTCAAATTGTAATCCTTCTACCTCAGCCTGCTGTAAAGTTGGGATTACAAGTATGCATCATCATTTTTTTCCCTCCAGAGTCTTAAATTTTTTTCGGAAGGAAGTGACAATTCACATGTACTCCTCGTGTTTTGTTAAAATTGACTATTCCTTCCTTTGTTTATATGTTTGAGCCAGGGTCAAACATATAAACATATGTTTTAGCTCAGGTTGGTCTTAAACTCCCACTACTTCCACCTCAGCTTCCTTAGTGATCAGATTACAAGCATTCACCAGTATGCCTGGCTCCTTTATTTATTTATTTATTTATTTTTGTACAAACAAAATTAGGAATCCAGAGAGATGGCTCAGTGGAATAAGTGCTTCCCTGGCAAGTGCAAGGGCCTGAGTTCTATCCCCAGTTCTGCCAAAAATAAATAAATAAAGATCTAAATAAATAAATAAATAAATAAATTAGTGGCTCTTTCTTACTTAATATACAAAAACTAGTTTTTCACACAATTAGTAGTATGTCATCCATTCATGAGTAGGTAGAACTTTGATTTTTTTCTTTTTTATCTTTTTGAGACAGGGTCTTACTATGCAGTTCAGGCTGACCTCTAGGTCACTTTGTAGCCCATGTTGGTTTCGAATTCACAATGATCAACCCAGCCTGCCTCAACCTCCGAAGTGCTGGGCTTCCAGATGTGTGTCACCATGCCCAGCCCATAACCTTGATTTTTAAACTATAATTTATTTTTGATTTTTTAACTTGAATCATACTCAAAAAAAGTTATTGTCTCTGGTATTTATTTATTTTGGTGGAACTAGGGATTGAACTCAGGTCCTTGCGCTTGCCAGGGAAGTGCTTATTCTACTGAGCCATCTCCCTGGCCCCTGTCTCTGGTATTTACATTCACTGAGTCAAAAATGAAGTGCTAAAGGTAAAGGTGTAATTCATTGAGACCATGTCAAAATATACGGTTAGTTTCATGGCGCTCACTAATAGGGGAGGGGTGCTTTTTAATGTGTGTTCTAGTGATTGAACCCAGAGTCATGCTTGCACCGTACCACTGAGGTACATTCCCAGCCCGTTTAAATTTTGAGACAGGGTCTTGCTAAATTGCCCATGTTGACCTGGAGCTTGTGATCTTCCTGTCTCACCCTCTAGAGTAGCTAGGATTATGTATAGGGCTGCAAAACATGTGGGAGTTGGGGAGTTGACAGGTTTTTTTTTTTTTCCTTTTTTGTATTTGAAGGGATGGGTCGAGAGGAGGGTGTTCAGGGTCTCACTACTAGATGGAGCTCCTAGTGATCCGCCTGTTTACAGCCTCCCAAGAGCAACAGTTGTTGAAACAGTAACTTTTCTTTATTGAAGTTTGTTTGACCATATTCTCTTTGAGAAAAAAGTTAAATTTGAGTAATGTATTGCATTTGGTTCTTTTTTTTTTTTTTTTGGGGGGAACCGGGGATTGAACTGAGATCCTTGCGTTTGCCAGTCAAGCGCTTATCCTACTGAGCCATCTCCCCAGCCATGTATTGCATTTGGGAAACAATGTTTGTTATAGATGTGTTAAACAGTAATTGTATGTATTTTTGGTTCATCATATAGTTGGTTTGACAAGTATTTGGAAAATAGTCATCAAAGACAGCCAATAAAAGTTTGCTTATAATCCCTGCCCTTGTTTGTTGGTAGTGGGAATTGAATTGAACAAATTGAACATTTGTTCTGTACCTAGTAATGATTGAGAAGTTACTAGCTGTGGAGAAAGATGATGCAATGAGTGATGTCTTCCATGAGTAGGCAAGATGATGGAAGTACTTAGTGAACCACCTGTGTTTGTTCTTGACCTGCATACTTTCTTGGCTATCCCAATAGTCTGCATTATGGCCCACTGTGGTGGCACATGCTTGTGAACCCAGCACTCAGGAGGTTGAGGCAAGAGGATTCCTGTGAATTTGAGGTGGCCAGCCTGGGCTGCAAAATGAGTTCACGGCCCACCTAACCTTCATGGTGAGACCCTGCCTCAAAAAGATGGGAATAAAAAAGTCTGCAGTAACTTTTTTTGCTGGGTAGAGATAGAACCAAGTTCCTTGCGCCTCGCTCCCATTAGGGGTTTGAATAGAGTGCTGAGTGAGTTACAGTCCCAGTCTTTCTTGCCTTTTTAAAATTTTAAGATGAGGTCTCAATGTGTTGCTTTCGGTGGGTTTGACTTTGGGATCTTTGTGTCTCATACAACAGCTTGTCAGTACAGATATGTGTAGTAGTCAAAGACATTTTAGCTGATAATACTATTTAAAAAATTTAGTCCTGGGGTCACATTTTTTCTGTGGTTCTATTTTTTTGATCTTTTGTTCTGTAGGATTCCATATCTAGAGTTCAGACCTATTTTTATTGTTTTGTTTTGTTTTCTCCAAAAATGGTCAGTAGTTGTTGCAAGAATTAAAAGAAAAAACAAGACTATACAACAAGATTGTAAACATGTTAAGGTCATTGGTCTTGCTACTGATATAGGGGAATGAAACGCCGGACCTGAAAGGTACCTGAACGAGTTCATGTTCTCTAAAATCAAAGTATTTTAGGAAGAAATGGAGTTTAAGAGCTGAACTTTTGGGGCTGGGGAGATGGCTTAGTGGAATAAGTGCTTCCCTGACAAGTGCAAGGGCCTGAGTTCAATCCCTAAAAAAAAAAAAAAAAAAAAGAGCTGAACTTTTTTGGGGGAAAGAAAACTTCTGTCTGAGAGAGGTACCTGAAAGGGGACCTGAGCAGGTTGCCCCCAGAAAGCTGTCTCCTCCAGGGAATCTTCTAGAGTAAAACCATATGGTGATGCAGGTCTAAGGTGGAGAACATGGGAACTTACTTAGGGAGGTCAGCATTTGTTGATCTTTAGTCTTTAGGTCAGGCCCACAGCAGGAACATCCATCTCTCACAGTTGCAATGTATCTTGTCTTCCCTACTGTCTCCTTGAGGGCCTAGCCATGGCTGACTGCCTATAATATTTCTATCTAATTTAGCTGCCTGCACATAGACACCGTTTTGTTTTGTTTTTTCAGACAGGGTGTATATAAACTGGTGTATTGTAGGAGACACTTCCAGGTCCTCGTCTCGGTCCAAGAAGCCAATATTTGTAATCTCA